CCACGAATTTTGTTCCGTCAGAAAGATTACAACAGTTTCTGATAGTTAATAATGAGCATTTTACTGCCAACCTGCTGGCTGCTGCTGCTCCTCTGTTTCTGCTCCACAAACGTCACATGAGCAGGTGAGCTCGCCTCCTCATGCAGGACGGTTTAATTTAAAAGGGCTTAATGTCAGACATTGTCRAAAATTAACTTTCAAGCCGCATAGTCTTTGCACCGAAGCAGCAAGTTTATGTCACTTACCCAGAATGCTTTGCTTGTTTTGGTTTGGTTACTTTATTTATACCAAAAAGGTAAATTTGTATTGCAGTGGTATTAGCAAAAAGAACCACTCGCATAGTGCTTGAGGCTCCACATATCATATATATTTGTGATGTAAACAACATGGCAACGTCCGTGTGGCAATGTTGCRTTTTTAATTTATAAAAACTAAACAGCCTACAGTATTTATACAGTCTAGTTTTCATAAATAAAATAAATGTTTATCAAATAATATCAACTAGTCAGGGATCCCTTTAATAAATTAAGTAATAACAGTGGTTTACTCAAGTGATATCAACTGTAAATATTGGTTTTGGWGTGCCACTCCAATAAATCATTTTTGGAGACTCCACTGGTAGCTGGAAGACTTTCACGAGGAAAACAGCGTGTGCTTGAAGTGGCGATCCACTGCACCTTTTCCCTGCAGAGCCAGACGAGCAGACAGGAACAGGAAGTGGTACAAAGTGTACCCTTTAACGATATCATGGAGACTTGGACATTGTGTCTTCGTCTCCAGGAAAGCTCCTCTGGGCAGCTCTGATAAACCTGCCTCCTGTTTCTAGGGTTTCCAGGACAACAGATGGAGAGTCAGCGGCGCACAAATCAGTCTCTCATAGCAACAGATTAGCTTCAGTATCAGACTCTGACCAATCAGAGGCCACGTACTTGATGAGAAATCCCTGTTGTTGCTCGTTCCTGGCGTGTAGGAGGAGAGCGGGCCGAGTCACGTGTTGTGTGGTGCAKAAAGCATCCTTCAGCGCTGTGCTGACTTCAGGACACATTGTACTCAGACTGAATGTACGTAGTAAACATTGTGTAGCAACCCATAGGTCTGTGTGTGAACTGAGGCTTTCCATTGAAACACAGTGAGAAAATGTCCTTTTATTGCTTAAAGTACCTGTGATATTAAATTTAAGTGATATATTTGAGTGCACATTTGGAAAGATAACGTTCATGATTAATTGCAAACAGAAATTCACGACACTGAAACAAACAGTTGTTGAGATATTTGCATGAGCAGAAACAGGAAGTGATGTCAAAGGGGAATGCCTGAAAGAGTTGTTACAAACGGCTAACAACAGACTGCAAAGAATCAGATGTTTCTGTAGATTATTTTGAGTCATTTTCAGATAAAGGCTGTGTCCAAAACGACAGGCCGGGTCCTCCGGAGGACCRAGACTCCCCGGTCTCGGCGGGCCGGGTCCTTGGTAGACCGGGAAGACCGGAAAATAAGAGGCTGTGGATTTGGACGGTCTAGCCTCCCCTCCTTACCCTGGCGTACGTCTTGTCACCTAGCAACTGTGATGACGCTAAACAAGCAAACTTAAATCAAAACTAGAAAATTATCAATACATTAGCATTATTAATATCACAAAACTATAAAATTAACTTAAAAGTATCATTTGAAGAACTAATTGACCCGCTGTAGGT